GATAGCAATTTTGAATGAAAAAAAAAAAAAAAGGCACTGGCAGGATTTGGTCAGGAATTTTTCTGGTTAATATTTGGTTTTCATGGATAAGAAAAACCCTATAATCAAAGTAAGATGATTGTTATTTAATATATCTCATTGACAGTGCTATCATGGGTATGTGTTTTACAAGAGCCCTTATCTTTTAGAGCTTGATACTGAAATATGAAATGATGATGAAATAATGCCTGAGATTTGTTGCATTTCTGTGTTAAATTTAAATGCATTGAAAGATAATTTTGCTATGTTATACTTAATTCTGTATATCACACAGCCTTTAAGCTAAATTTCCATTTTACAAACTGGCCCCTATTTCTAAAGCCACTTGAATAAACCAGAACTGAGTCCCAAAGTTGAAAATGGTAGAGGAATGTCTTTCAAAGACATTAGAGTCATCAAGTCCCAGAAATTCTTGAGCTAGGCCTCAGTTCTGGGCTGGATGAGGCCAAGAGCTTCTCAGTGACCTGGGTTCTGAGCACATTATCAGATGCATAAGGATGGGTTTAGAGGGATGTGGGCCACACCACTTTATAGGTGAGTAGACTGAAACACAGAGAAATTAATGTGCAGTTGATACCTGACACAAAGTGATCTTTACCTGTAAACTGGACATTCTTACCTCCTGGGTTTGAAGTAAGGATTTACCAAGTTACAGATGTGGAACCATTTAGCATCCTGCCACCATAGTAAGATGTTTGCTGCCATTTTCATTATTGTCATCATCACTGCTGGTAGAGATCAGTGAAATAAAATGGTTAAATGAATAATAGAGGTTATAAAAATATGGTAAATTCACGTAACAGTATTTTACAATTAGAATACTAGTGCAGTGCGTGATGGGGCAGTGGTGTTTCATTGGTAGAATTCTCATTTCCATGTGAGAGACACTGGTTCAGTTCCCAGCCAATGCACCTCATACATATAGCCACCACCCATCTTTCAGTAGAGGCTGACAGTGTTGCTATGATGCTTTACAGATTTTAGAGGAGCTTCCAGACTAAAGATATGGCGGCAATTCCATGTGTTGCAGAGTTGATGTAATTGTTTTGATTTGGAAGGAAGATTGGGCAGTCTTATTTCCGTAGTGATACCGCCTGGGAAACCCAAGGAGAGGTTGCTGAGTTCTGACTCCACAACAGCTTAGAGCTTGGAGCTTGCTTGCTGTGACTCTAAATTAGCCAGAACATTTAATTAAGCAACTCCTTCTATTCTCAACACATTTTAGAATATTCATAGAGTCATAAGGGTGTTCACTAGCGCAAAGAGGGACTGTGGGTGGTATCTGACCTCTTCTAACTTCAGAAGGGGGAGACAGAATTACCATCAGTAGTATCAGCCCAAGGCTAATTCCTGGGAGATGGAAGGCAGACATGCTGCCACCCTCTAACCCTTTTTTTTTTTAAACCAATTCTGATACCAGCCATTTCTCCCTTGTCACTCTCTGCTTCTCTGCTAGGTTCAATAATTCGTTGCAGTGGCCACACAGAACTCACAGATTACAGGGATTATTAGGGAAGTAACAGATTACAATTCAGGATCAGAAAACAACTCAAGATAGCTTCTTCTTAGCCATGCCACAGGCAACTGCTCTCTAGTGTTGGCCTCTGCTCTGCTTGTGTTACAGTAAGTGCTCTTTTACCTTTGCCAATAGGTGCCTAAAGAGGCACCCCACTCCACTAACAAGCCTCGAGCACAAAAGCACTCACCTCTCACGATGGGCCTGCAAGCCCGCTGCTCTGTCTCATTCCAGTCTCATGGTTCTACTGCCTCTACTACCACTGTCTCTCTGCCATCTCTGTACAGGGATCTTGGGTCCAAGGATGAGCTCCCCTCCCAGCTGTTCTCTCTGATGGCAGCAAGGTCAGCCTCTGGAATGACTCATTTAAGCCTAGCAGAATGGCATACTGACCAATCCCCATGTGAAGGTTCCATACACCTTATTTGCTCAGTCCCACCCCCCACAAGGGCACCATGTACCTTATTTACATTATTAACAATCTAACCAATCCCCTTGGTGGGCAACAAGCACCTCACATTTACATAGTTCCCCCCATTAATCTGGTGGGAGTCACAAAAACCATGGCGAGAAGAGCTATATGAAGTAATTTTCCATAGTGCAACTAGCAACAAATCCCACTGTCTCCTTTTATAGATTAGTTAATTTAAGTCCAGAGAAGTGAAAACTGGTTTGTTGGGGTACACAAATATTTAGTTTCAACATTGTAACTTAAACTCAAGATTTATGGAAGCAGATAGTGGTTACCTATCAGATGAGGATTTTAGAACAAGTTGCACTTTGCTGAAGCCCCACCTGAAAATGCAGTAGCTCTGGTAAAGGCCTCGTGCCCAGGACTGACTCTGCCTTAGAGCAAAAACTGTGTCTCCTTAAACTCTGAGATGCTTATTCATATCCTCTCTACCTCCTCTTCCCCTGAGCTGAGCCAAGTCAATATCACCAGCATAGTCTCATATGGCACAAAATGCCTAGTTTTGAACAGTGGCTTTTTTTTTTCTTTCTTTGGTATTTGAATTTGCAGAATAGTTACAGTCCCACAATAACTTTTCTGCAGTTGATTATATAGTGTTAGTCAGAAACCAGTAAGGCCCCCTGTGGGGCTCAGCACACTGAAGTCAAGATGAAAAAGGTATTTCTTTCATGTACACATAGCCTGTTTGTGTTTTGGCAATGGTTTCATGAAGCTACCTACTTCTTAAACTTGTTTTAAATTATAAACATCTCCCCTGGTGGGTTTTTGTTGTTGTTGTTTGACTATAAAAGAAATTAAGCATTTTATTTATTTATTTCATTTTACATATTTGCTTTTTGCTTATATGGTTATTTTAATTTTTAAAATAATATTGTATTTTACTCAAAATCATTTTGGAAAAAAAAAAAAAAAAGACCAGGTTTGTTGGTCTGATAGACCCCTGAGACTGTGACCCCTAGTTACCCTTTAGGTCTGGAATTGAACTACTCTTGTGGCTTCCAGCCAAACAATAGACAGGCATATGGGGTGAACATTTACATAAGGTAGGTGCACTACTGGCAGCAATCAATCATGGGAGAACAGAAGGGAAGTGTTTCATAGGGAGACAGCTTGGGGAGTGGGAGTCCATGGGAGGGAAGGACACAGGGAAGAGGTAACTATAGGGAGGAAGTGGGAAGAGAGCTGTTACATTGTGGGTAATTGCAGTCAATGTCATGAAACAAAATGTGTATGAACTGCTGTATGGAAAATAAATTTGCTCTGTAAACTTTCACCCAAATCACAATTTAAAAATAAATAAATAATACTGTGTTTTAGACAAAAGTTGCCATAGCATATTAGATTATCCTTTAACAATTTTTATGCAGATTGTTCTGTGCCATTGGTTATGATTTTTGCACTGTGTCAGCATTTTCATTATTTGCTTTCTGTTTGTTCTGTTTCCATTAATCTAGCTCCTCTTTCCCCCTTGCCCTTTCATCTTTGATTTTAGATAAATGTTGACTGTTGGGTCTCATTATAAGGAGCTCTGATGGTGTAGTGGTTAAGGTACCTGCTAACCAAAAGATCAGTAGTTTGAACTCACCAGCTGCTCTGTAGAAGAAAGATGAGGAAGACTGCTTCCATAAAGATCCACGGCCTTGGATACCCAGTAAGGGTGTCTGAGTTGGAATCGACTTGGCAGTGTATTTGGGTTTGTGTGTGTGTGTGTGTGTGTGTGTGAGATGTAATTAGTTGTTTAAGGAAGCACATTACTCAATGATGATACTATCTTTATAAGTCAATCTGTTGTTTGGCTGAAAGGTGACCTGCACGAATAGATTTAATTCTAGTCTCAAAGCATATCTTAGGGTGATAGTCTCAGGAATTCCTATATCTCTATCTGTCCAGTAGGTCTGGCTTTTTATAGGAACTTGAGCTTTGTTCTACATTTTCTCCCATTATATGTAGGATCTTCTGTTGTATCCTGGTCAGAACAGTCAGTAGTGGTAGCTGAGCACCATCTAGTTCTTATCTCCAGTAAGAAGAAGCTAGGGTTTGTGTGGGCTGTTGGCTTTGTGGACTGGTTTCTTCTTTGAAACTTTTATTTTCGTAATTTACTTTTATTTCATTTATGTAGAACCAATACTTGTATCTTAGATGGCTGCTTGCAAGCTTTTAAAACACTATAGGCTATTCACCAAACTAGGATATATGGAACATTATCTTTGTGAACTATGTTATGTCAATTAACTAAATTGCCCCCTGAGACTGTGGTCCCAAGCCTTTTGACCCAGTAAACCGATCCTGTGAGTTGTTTGGATATGTTTAGGAAACCTCTGTAACTATATGTGTGGATATATATGCAGCACACAAAAACATGTATATACATTTGCCTACAGATATACTTACACAGGCACTTACATTCACTTGCATATGCCTTCTATATACATGTATGCATCCATATCTACATGTGTCACCATACATGTGTTTTTTGGTTGTTTTTACTATTGTTGTAAATTTGTATATGTTACAGCATTTATTGCAGTTGTTCCTTTTTCTCATATACTTCTTAGTGTTTTTACTTACCTTGGTCAGGTTGTGCTGATTTCATCCATATTTGGGATTGCCTTTCCCATCACCAAAACTAACAAGTGTCTTACTATTAGAAAATTATTCCCCCTCCCTTTCCTTTACATCCTTGGTAACCATCAAAGAACTTTGCTCTCTGTGTGTATATCTATTCTTATATACTTTTTATGAGAGTGGGACCATACAATATTTGTCCTTTTGTGATTGACTTATTTCACGCAGCACAGTGTCCCCCTGATTCATCCATGTTGAAAGATGTTTTGCAGACTCTTCATTATTCTTTATAGTTGCATAGTAGTCACCACTGAGCTTTGCAGAAGGAAGCTGTGGTTTCTTGCCTTCCTGCTCACCCACATAGTTTTCTTCAGAGGGAAGGCTAACATCTAACCATATTTTTCACAGTAGCTATTGACAGAGTGGAAGAAACCAGAATTCCTTGAAGGAAATTCTTCCTGAAAGAGACTTTGAGACTGGGTACTCCATGGAGAATGAGGTAGGTTCAAACCCAGTATGCTAACTGCCGTCTGGAAGGATTGTTTGGGTTCCTCATGGGTAGATCATGGCTGTTTGCCAGAGTACTTGCGTATTGTGACCCACTGCTTTGGAAAGATGTAATTCTCTGGCTTTCTGGCTTGTCCATGGAGGTGGAAAAACTCCCTGTCCAAGTAGAGTTGATAGATTGTTACATTTGTCCATTTTAACTGAAGGCATAAAAAGCAATAGGTTTTATGTCTTCCAGGGAAAAGTAATTTTCATGTGAATTTTTAGGCAGTTGGTATTCAGGATCTGAGTTGAAAAATTATTTAGGGAAAAGGTCAAGAGAGAGTGCACATTTAGAAAGACTCATGCCCAGAATTCTACCCATGATGTCTTGTGCACAAGATCTCTAGTTCACAGTGGTCCGTTCTATCCCCCTGGTTTGGAGATGGGCTTCCTGGGGAGACTGAAATGCCTCTGTGGCTGTCATTGTACAGCAGTGGGATATGATGTGTGCTTCAGGCTCACATCAGGGGGTGCCAAGTCCTGGGAGGGGGGATGAACTGTCCCGGTGAGGCCTGTGGGCTAGGACCTCATCGAGTTTGTTATTGAGCCTCTGTCATGCCTGAGGAAGCAGGCAGTTTCATATTTCTGAGTACTTGCAGTGCAGTCAGTGCTGGGTGTTGGTGGAAATTACAATCAGTGATGTTGCAATGTGGGTGAAAGCTGAAGGGAGGTCTTCATCATGGAGTTACTTAGCATGCCTTTACTATCTACTGGGGAAGTGTGTGGTGTGTGGATTGTGAGGGTGGCAGGCATACCTCTGACAGTCCTACAGCTGGACAGAACTGTAACTTACTCTTTATCTCAGATTTCCATGGAAACTGGGCCATCTCTGAGAAGTCTCTGACACCCCACCAGCACCCCCCAGACTGCTTGTGATACCTTTTGAACTCATTCTCACTCATCCCTTCTTGTCCTTTAGATTGTATGTCCCTTAGGCCAGGGTCAATGGTTTTTCACTCTTGAAGTCCCTGTGCTTGGTGCATAGTAAGTGCTTATTAAGCATTTGCTGGTGTTAAGTGTAAGGACACCCACCTAGGTCTTTTTACTTTAAAAATTGTTTCAGAAAACCAAAGATGCATGGAAACAGTTAGTCCAAGGGACTGGTTTGTTGTTGTTATGTGCCATCGAGTCAGCCCCAACTCATAGCGACCCCTCCTTGGGTTTCCGAGGCAGTATCACTATGGAAGTAGGATTGCCCAACCTTCCTTCCGAGGAGTGGCTGGTGGGTTTGAATCGCCAGCTGCCTGGTTAGCAGGCAAGTGTCTTAGCCACTATGCTACCAGAGGTTACCTAGTGCTGCTCTGACAAGAATATACCACAAATGGGATGGCTTTAACAAACAGGAGTTTATTCTTACAATTTGGAGGCTTTAAGTCCATATTCAAAGTGCCAGGCCCTAGGTGCTGGATGAAAGCCCCTCAGCCTTGAGGTCCAGCTCCGCCTCCTGCTTCTGGCCCAATGGAGCTAGAGGCATTTCTTCACTCAGACAGCTGCTGGCTGCTGAGGCTGAGAAGCCCCAAGGTTGACAAGTAAAAAGACACAGTCCCGATGTTACCAAACCACACGGCAGGCTGTTAACTTAAGTCCATTGTAAGTCCCAAGGTCGACAGAGCATGGCATGCTGCTGAGCAACGACACAGCCACATGCAAGGTCCAAACGTGCCATATGGTAGAGACCATTCTCAAATCTTCTTCTAACATACAGGAAGCAGACCACATCCCAAAGGCAGCTACTCAGCTGCTTGTGGTAGATTCTACCATGGAGCTGATTGCCAGTCTCATCATGGGGAATAACTACCACCAGCGGCCCAGCCACTCAACCAGGCCCAGCCAAGTTGACACACAAATATAACTACCACAATACCCATAAGACCAGAAGAACTAGATGGTGCCTGGCTACCACTGTCAGCCACTTCGAGGGGATCGGTGCAGGACATTCTAGATAGAGTGTGAGAACAGTGTGGAACAAAACTCAAAATAATTTAAAAAAAAAGACCAGTATTGCTGGTCTGATAGAGCCTGGTGAGACGCCTGAGACTATGGCCCCTAGTAACCCTTCTGGTCTAGAATTGAACTCACTCCAGTGGCTTCTGTCCAAACAGAAGACAGGCATATGAGCTGAACTTTTACATTAGGTGGATACACTCCTTGGAGAGAGCAATCTTGGGAGAATAGAAGGGCTGTGTATGCACAGGGAGACAGCTCGCTGGGCGGGGGAAGGAGTGCTTGGGAGGGAAAGACAGGGAAGTGGTAACCACAGGGAGGAAGTGGGAAGAGAGCTGTTACATTGTGGGTAATTGCAGTCAGTGTCATGAAACAAAAAATGTGTATGAACTGCTGTATGGAAGATAAATTTGCTCTGTAAACTTTCACTCAAATCACAATAAAAATTTTAAGAAGAAAAAATTGTTGTTTCAAGGCAGTCTTGTGTTATTAATTAGGTTTCTATCTGTGAAAAACTACCTTGCAGTTTATCATAAGGATTCTCATAGAGCAAAATAGCAGAGTCTGGTTGAAATTAAAAGTAAAGAGCTTTTATTGATTGAGAGGCAAGGCAGTTTGCCAATTGGGAATCACAAGGTCCAGAGGATTCTGGATTAGGTGATCCAAGGAGGACACAGTTTAGGGAGTTTTTGTAAGAAAATACAAGGAATTTCAGTAAAAATTCAATGATTGGTTGACATTTAGGTCATGGTTAGAAAGTTGGATGAGGGTACATCTGATTGGTAGGAGATTACATACATTTCTAAAAAGAAAAAAATTTAAGTTACAAAGTAATCATTAAATTGTGCACATTTGACTTTGAAACAATGTGAGACCCTCATTGTGTGACTGCAGGCAGACATGTGTAATTCTAAAGGTTATTTTGAGTAAGCATCTGTTCTGAGAATTGTTTTTAGACCCAGCTTCCAAAGCAGGAAGTAAAATTACATTGTTCTCTGAAATTGTTTACCAAGTAATTTTCTCACAGTACAGGAGAGAGTTACAGGAATGACAGGCTGCATTTCTGATGCAGAGGTTATTTTTTGATCCAAAATGGAGTTTTGGCCTCAGACCTTAGCATAGCTACCATCTCATGTTGGGTGTCCTAAATTAATTTGAGGTGCTCTTACTCAGGATTAAATAAGAACGTCTATGAAAATGCTTAAACATGATTCCCAAGATGCACTAGATAATCAGTGTATCTCTGTTTTCAATACTCAATATGTCTTTTTTTTCCCTCCTTAGATGTCTTAGAACTTCCTTCAGAGCAGTACTGAGCTCTGTATTTTACAAGTAGGGCCTCAGCTGATACAGCTTTATCATTTATGTAGATCACCATGTAGCAGCTCACTGTCTCATGAGTCCAGTTGCCCTGTTTCTTTTAGCTGATGCATATCACATGCTAAATTAGTAAATGGATAGTCTGACTTAAGAAATTAGTCTTTGAAGAATTTGTTTAGTAGACTGAGTTACTCAGAGACAGGTCGCATTCAGACTAGCAAGGTCAACCTGCCAGCTCTGTGAAAAGTGCTCTTTAGTTAAATTCTAAAATGGCCAGCTTTGTGCTTTTTGTCCTTTTTAACTAAGAACTACAATATCTTTCTCCTATGGAGCGGCTGTTGGGTTCCATTCACTGTTCCTTTGGATGGAACCAAAGCACTTTAACCACTGTTCCACCAGGGCTCCTAACCAAGAACTGCATTTTAGATTTCTACTGGAAAAATTGTTTCAGGTTAGGACAGAAAATATTGTAACAAATCTAGTAATCTTTGCAGAGCTTGTCTAGAAATTTTCTTACAGTGAACGAGGAGTCTGCCAGGTACTGTAAAGAAGAGTAGTGAATTGTACGCTGTCCTGGCCCTCAACTAACTAGACTCTAGGGCAGTTCATTCAGCCTTTGTGGCCACATCTTCTTCATGAGATGTAGGCACAATTGAACCCCAAATTCCAGTGCCAGGGAAGAAGAATTAATTACTCAACTCCATGTACCCTCTGGGAGTCCAAACCAGTCCCGTCTCCAGGCTCAGATTGTAAGATCATGTTGGCTCAGTGAATATGATTGCTCAGTGAAAATTACTTGTTTGCAGAAGAATGAATGCTGGGATAAAACTACTTCTTAGACTCTGCTAATTGTTCTGTACGGTCTTCCAGCCAACCATAATTTACTAAAATTCTGATTCTCTGTGTCAGAATATTCTTAATTACTTCTTAGGTATATATCTTTTTACCAAAACTTCCCTTTAAATTTTCATGTTCAAAAGCAACATCAGTTCCAAAACTCTGAGATGCCCTCTTGTATTTCTGGAAAAGCTGGAAGACCTCCACCCAAACCTTCCATCTCCCCCTCCCAACCCTGCCACACGCACAGGTGCATTATTTTCTGGCTATCAACACTGTAAGCTAGACTGGGAGCCTCAGCCTGTAAAATACCTGTTTTCATCATCTGTGGATTGGAAACAACTACATTCTGCACAGAATTGTGAGCAATTGTGCTCTGAGTAGCAGAGGAGAATTATAAGGAATTTACTTGCATGTGTTGCTTTACTGAGTCATTTCAACACTCTGCTTTCCAAGAAGGCTTATCCACTAATGAAATTATTTGAGACATCAAAAAAATAAAAATAAAAATATGTGGTGCCTGCTATAGTCAAGGCTTAGGACGAGGGACAGAGGACATGGCTCTGCTTCCAAGTACTGCCATGCAAAGTTTCTAAGAAGTCTGTTAAAATGCAGTAAATTAGAGGCCTGAATGAACCAGAGCAGTTCATCTCTTGAAATTGCTTTGGAAATACAATTTAGAGGGTTGGTGTCACGTATCACCCGATGTCTTTATAGTCTATTTGTTGATTAGGGCAGCACCTTAAAAAAAAAAAAAAAAGAGATCAGTTATGCACTAAAATACAACTTTGAGACATCTTACTGTTCTTAAGCACTGACATGCGTTTATTTCTCCTTCCTTAAGAGAAGGAACTGAATCTCATTCATTCACAGCACCTTCTTAATGCCTGGCACACAGTAAGCCCTAAATAACTCTGGTTATTTTTGTCATTGCATTGTTGTTGTTAGATGCTGTTGAGTTGGCTCAAACTCATAGTCACCCTGTGTACAACAGAAGGAAACACTGCCCAGTCCTGTGCCAGTCTCACAATCCTTGCTATACCTGAGCTCATCATCGCAGCCACTGTCAGTCCATCTCATTGAGGGCCTTTCCCTTTTTTGCTGACCCTCCACTTTACCGAGCATGTTATCTTTCTTCTGGGAATGGTCTCTGCTGACAGCATGAGCAAAGTAGGTAAGAGAAAGTCTGGCCATTCTCACCTCCAAGGAGAATTCCAGCTGGACGTCTTCCAGGATAGATTTGTTAGTTCTGGCAGTCCATGGTACTTCACCAACACCACAAAAGTATTAACTCTTCTTCGGTCTTCCCTAATTCATTGTCTAGCTCTCACATGCATTTGAGATGATTGAAACTACCATGGCTTGAGTTAGGTCTTTAAAGAGACATCTTTGCTCTTCAGCACTTTAAAGAAGTCTTTGGCAGCAGATTTGCCCAGTGCATTGCGACGTCTGATTTCTTGACTGTTGCTTCCATTGGTATTGATTATGGAACCAAGTAATATGAAATCTTGGGTAACTTCAATGTTTTCTCTATTTATCATGATGCTGCTCATTGGTCCAGTTGTGAAGATTTTCATTTTCTTTGTGTTGAGGTATAATCCATACTGCAGACTTTGGTCTTTAATCTTCATCAGTATGTGCTTCATGTCATCTTCATTTTCAGCAAGGAAGGTTGTGTTGTCTGCATATCGCAGGTTGTTAACAAATCTTCCTGTAATCATGATGCCGCATTCTTCTTCACATAGTCCAAGTTCTCGGATTATTTGCTCAGCCTACAGATGGAGTACGTATGATGAAGTGATAACAACTCTGACACATACCATTCCTGATTTTAAACCATGCAGCATCCCTTTGTTCTGTTTGAACGACAGCCTTCTGGTCTATGTATAGGTTCCTCATGAGCGTAATTAAGTGTTCTGGAATTCCTGTTCTTCTCAGTGTTATCCATAATTTGTCATGATCCACACAGTCAAATCCTTTTGCATAGTCAATAAAACACAAGTAGACATCTTTCTGGTATTCTTTGCTTTGAGCCAAAATATGATGATATTCCTTGTTCCATGGCCTCTTCTGAATCCAGCTTGCATTTGTTTCATTAAGCTCTCATTAATCAGCATATATTGTCCTCCAGCTGTATGCCAGACCCTGTGGTAGTTGCTAGGGTTACAAAGAAGAAGAAAATCTTAGTTCTCGAGATTTGGGCTTAAATAGGGAAGAGCTCACCCTTTAAGAGTAAGGATAGTCTTTAGTGATTATCTAGCTTCCTGTCATGGCAAGGAGATTACAGACCTAGATGGTAGTGTCTTTCCCAACACTGGCTGTGATTTTATGTGCAGACCAGGATTTCGTGATATGTACATGAAAATTAAAATTAAAATATCAATGTCAATTGTATGCAGTGTGTTGACTTCTTCATTTGGATGGGCATCTTGGTTAGAAGTTCATCTTGGCAATTCTTAGTTATTCCATATAGCTAAACAAGCAGCTTCAGTCAGAGCAAACAGTGCTGAACTGTTTCAGTGCACTTTTGGAGTCAGAAACCAGTTACTGTCTGTCCCATAACTGGTTGTTATTGAAAGGAAGTGAGCTTTGTGGAGGTGCCAGTTTGAAGTGGGTTAGGGACAGATTTTTACCTCTGGCCAATTTAATATTGTCTGTCTGTGGAAAAAGCTTCTTAAGAGGAAGGATCATATTATATATCTACATTTGTCTCTCCACAGCCTCTAGGACAGTGCCTTGCACTTAATAGGAACTAGAAAAATATCTATGCACAAATAATCGAAAGATCAAAATAACATGTTTAAAGAGTGATCTTGTGGCAATCTGCCAGCCAAAATAGGAATTGCAAGTGAGTAGGAACTGTCTATTTTCAGCAGGGCACTGAGGAAACATGACTTTTACATGACTAGGATTAAGTTGGGCAATCCTACTTCCGTAGTGATACTGCCTCGGAAACCCAAGGAGGGGTCGTTATGAGTCGGGGCCCACTCAATGGCAAATAACAACAACAACAACAGGATTAAATTACTGAATTGTGAAGGTTAAATTCAATTTATAGTTTATCACCAGTGGTTGCCTAGCAAATTGTTGGTTATCATTTCCCATCATTCCACTCTGTGAACTCCCACTCTAGCCAACTGGTCCCACTTTTGCACTTTTGGGCTTCTCCCTGTGTACCTCTCACTCCTGCCATTTATCCTAAATCATCCTGGGCTCACAGCTAGTGGTAGGATTAAGGAAACTGAAACCTCATGGTTGGGGGCATAGGCCAGGGGAACCGTATTGACCATTCTACAGCCAGTCTGATATTGAACTTTATGAAGGTCATATTCTAATGGTGGGAGCTCTGGTGGCGTAGTGCCTAAGGCATTTGACTGCTAACCAGAAGGCTGGCGGTACAAACCCACCAGCCACTCCTCGGAAGGAAGATTAGGCAATCTATTTCTGTAGAGAATACCACGTGGGAAACCCAAGGAGGGGTCGCTGTGAGTCAGGAGCGACTCAATGGCAGTTGAGTGAGTGAGTGATTCTAATGGTATTGGATCTCGTATTGTTTAACTTTTGATGCTCTTACGGCATGAGTCAGAATCAACTGTGACATCATCTGTGACAGGGTTTGATATAGCTTGCCTCAGCTTAAGTGTAACCAACTGTAGACAGGACTTTTATTGACCCTTTTAAAAAAAACTTTGCATTGAAAAGAAAAAATGCATTGACTCATGTCACTTTAGTTTTGTGTATTTCACTGTACATAAATTATATTTCAGTAAAATGTGTTTTTTAAAAAAGAGTTTGTGTTAGAATTTCAAATCAAAACCAAAGTAGAAAGACAAGTTAATGAAGCTCCACTTACTCACCATCCGGCTCCGATAGTGACCAACCCATGCCAAGTCTGCTTCTCTTTCCCCCATTCCCTCAGCAGGAAGTGTTTGAGGGACTGAATATGGATGTGGTGGTGAAAGCGGGAAGGGTAGGATGTGCCCAGGGTCTGGGCTACAGAGGTAGAAGCCCCATGATATGGACATGAAATGCTCTGCTGTGGGGAACCACATGAAGGGATATATCCTAGCAGATTTCAGAGCTGTCAGACTAGGTCTTTGGTAGAATTTCCCATGTGCAGAGGAGAAACCAAAGTGAGGACTTTAATACATGTCTGGTGATAGGGGGTGGGGTGAGGGGTGTCTTGAGTCTGACCTGCTGCCTTGAGGCTGGGTGCTCTATTCTCTGGGCCAGCTGTAGAAGGCAGCTTTGTTCTGTCCTTCCCTGACCAGCCTCAGTTGAGGATCACAGGAAAGTGTGAGACCATAATTTCTCACGTTCATAGGTATTAATACTTTGGATTTTGTAGTCTTGCATTTAATTGCACATCTGTGTCTTGTTCACTCTGGTTTTAGGTATCTCTGGATTGCATTGGAAACTGAGGAGAGTAAGGGCAGTGCTTCACTCACATTTTTTTTTGTTTTGTTTTTTGCATGCAGGTATCCAATGACCTCAGTACAATTGTTTGTCCCTGGTCAGATGAGATCAAATTGCTAATAGATTTGAGTCTGCAAATGGCACAAAATTTTCCTTTTGGTTTGACATTTTCTTTATAGAGTTACTGAGCAGGAAGTACCAGGCCATTTCTTAGGAATTCATCGATAAGGTTTTCTTTCATTCTCTCTCTCACATTGTGCTGACTGAGGCTTGCCTTCTGTAGGCCTGTTGGTTTGCATTGGCATTTGACTGTCATAAGTGTATGTTCTGTGAACTCTCAGGCTTTTTATGCATTCCCTTCCCTCCTGGGAGGCAAGTGTGTGCTTCAGTCAGGAAGGTCACTACAGAAGAAAGGAAGAAGTGTGACTTTGGCCAGTGGTCTGAGATGTGTTCATTGTTGATGCCAGCAGTGGGCCATACTCCACACTTACCTTCTCAGAGTTCCCTATAAAGGTAGTAACCTACCAGGGTCAGCAAAAGTTGGAGTACATGTTTAATTTTTTGTGTTCCAGGGGAAGACTTTTCTGTCCTCTCACCAACTAACTTGACCAACACCTTGAGGAAAGCTGGCCCTTGACTTCCTAACTGTTGTATGAACAGGGGAAGATTCAGGATTTTCACCGCCAGAGGGCAGCATAGGCAGCCCCAGCTGTGGTCTTTGTCCATTCCTGCGTGCTGTTTCCCATTGGAACCAGGGTCCCTCTTACATAGCTGCTTCTATATTCTTGATCCTTTTTCAACAGCCCAGCAATTCCTATTTGTATTGAGACACCATGGCAGTGGTTTTGGCTTGTCATCTTCTTCACCATTAAAAAAAAAAAAAATCACTGCCATCAAGTCGTTTCCAACTTGTAGCAACCCCCATTGGGTTTCTGAGGCTATAAATCTTTACGGCAGTAGATTTCCCATCTTCCTTCTGTGGAGCAGCTGGTGGGTTTGAACCTCTGACCTTCTGGTTAGCAGTCAGATGTCACCATAGCAAAAAGAATTTGTAAATATTGAAATCCAATCATTGCCATTTTTGCCTGCAGCCTGGAATTGTGTCGCCATTTAAACGCGTATTCCTAAAAGGTGAAAAAAGTAGAGATAAGAAAGCCCATGAGAAGGTGACAGAGAGGCGCCCTCTGCATACTGTGGTGCTGTCATTGCCTGACCGAGTCGAGCCAGACATACTGCTGAACGACTATATTGAAAAGGAAGTAAAGGTAAGTTGTCACAGGCAGCAGGAAGTGACTGCCAAACAGGGGGCAGGGGGTGGGGGGAGTAATGCCTTTATCTAACAGGTGATTTGAAGCTTATAAAACCCTTTCACGTAAGTCCCTTTATTGACTCTCACATTTGTCATCCCGCCTCTGGTGATAGATCTAAAACTGAATTTTAAAAAACTCAGACTTTGTCTTCTGGTTCCTTTTATAGTAGCCTTTGTTCTGAAGTCCCAGCCATGTGTTTAGGCAGGTGCTGCCCCACCCAAAGGGGGCCATAGTGCTGGGAAAAACACTCATGATCACTTCTCCTTTACAGATGAGAAAAGTTACCTCATCAAGGTTCTGGAGATAATTTAGTGTCACAACTTAGAACCCAGGTCTCCCAAATTCAGTGTTCCTGAAGTCTGTCATTGTATCAGAAGTCTGTCCAGAAAACTTGTGGTTAGACATGACACATGAAATGCATGTATTCGTTCTTTTTCCCTCCCCAGAACACACAAAAATCAAAGTAAATGAATAATTTATAAAGATACAAAGTCAGAGCATATGAAAAAAGATAACAATGGATGAGTGAGTAATGTCTATAAACTTTGAAGAATGCAACCAATGAAAGTGAAGTAACTGAATTAGCAGAGCTGAAAGAGCTGACCAGAGTCTCTTCAGATACTACTGAGTCAGTCATGGGGCCTAGGGCAGAGGCATGGGACTGCTTGAATGTTTGTGTAGGGTATTTCCACTCTCATTGGGCACAATCAGATGATGAGCCTTTCCTCTCTCCATTGAGAGATAGGAGGTTTCCTCTGTAGAGAAATTGAACTTGAAAGAACTGCACATGAGAACATTGGGCAAAGAGGAGAGTGAGGTGAAGATGCAGATTGAAAACAAGGGAATTGAGTCAAAAATCTATATTCAGAATAGTGAGAATTCCTGATCTCCTTTCTCTGTCAACCTTCTAGGAGGCCTGCAGCCAGACCTTTACCCAAGAGAATCCTTGCAAGGATGCTTTCATGAGGAAGCTGAACAGTCCCATAGAAGTGCTGCCTAGACACTGACACTTGGGGGATTATTTCCTAATCTACCTTTATAAAGTCCAACACTTGATAACTCCCATCCATGCACACACAACTCCTTAGGCAGTCAAGGATGACTACACACTTGAAGAAAACTTTTAATCTAAAAGAGCTCAAGGCAAACAGTAAGTAAATACAAATGAAACAAGAATAGTGCAGAAATGAGGGGGGAATCTAAAAATTATATAATTGTTTATGTGGTCAGAAACAAAATGTAACTTTGAAATGACAAGATTCTGCTTTTAAATAAGAAAAAATGGGGAAGAGCTTTTGGAATTAAAATACGTTAACTATTATGTCTTTAAAAATTCAATAGAGGGATTGAAAGGTAAAGTCAAGAAAATGTCCCAGAAAGGATAACCAAAAGACAAAGAGATAGAAAATTAGTAAACAAAAGTTAAGAAAGGAAAAAAAGCAAATGAATGGATCAATCCAGGAGGTTCAACATCTGACTCGTTAGAAGAAAGAGCAGAGAAAAGAGTGAGGAGGAAAGTACTAAGACAGTAATACAAAACATTCTTTGACTTAATTAAAGGACACAACTTTCCAGACTGAAAAGATTTCCATGTAACAAAAGATGTCTCACTGAATGTGCATGAACCCATTCTTAGGAAGTTACGAAGGTTAACCAAGAAGGAGGAAACAAAGAATTCAGAATCTAGAGGATCTAACACAGAAAAGAGGCAAAGATAATTTGCAAGATGACAAAAAAGCAAAGTTCCAGGTCAAGAATCTGAGAGGAGTATATCTAAAAGAAAAAACCAATTCAAGTAGGCTGTGGGAGAGGGGAATATATTTTGTATGTTTGAGTGGAAAAGTATATTGAAGGCACCGTAATTGGTCTTTATTCACCTGGAACAACAGAGGAAGGAGGAGAGTCAAAAATAGGAGGAGGAAATGGATGTGTCACCAATTGCTTCCATGAACAATGGCCTCCTTTGCAATGAGACCAGAAGAATTGGATGGTGCCCAACTATCATTACTGAACAAAGATTCTATGGAAAAATTCTGATCAGAAGGGGGGAAATGTGGAATGGAATTTTAAATTTTCATTTTCTCTAGATTTTCTATTACTGCTTTTTTATTTTATTTCAAAAAATTCAGTATACAATTTATGTATATGATAACAAAATTCAAATGGTATTCTTGGTGAAAAGAAATCTCTCTTCCTTATTTTTTGAGTCATACAGTTCCCTGCCTGGAAGGTGTCACTGGTAGTACTACTGGTAGTCTATCCATCTACAAGCATACACGTTTTTTGTTTCTTTTTTCCTAAATGATTACATCTCATTCTCGCTTCCATCAAGTGGGACCTGACTCATAATGACCCCTCCTTGGGTTTCTGAGGTTGTGTCTCTATCGAAGTAGATTGCCCAGCCTTCTTTCCGAGGAGTGGCTAGTGAGTTTGAACCACCAGCCTTCTGGTTAGCAGTCAGATGCCTTAGGCACTATGCCACCAGAGCTCCCCAAATGATTAAGTAGTATACACTGTTTGTACTTGGGTTTTTATACTCAGCAGTATGTCTAGGAGAGGGTTCCATATTAGGATATACAGAGCTGCCTCTTCTATTTTAATGGCTGCTTAGTATTCTGTTACATGACTTACATGATTCTGTCATATTTTCTTTAGCCAGTGCTCTCTTGATGCACATTTAATTTGTTTCCATTTATTTTACACATGCTTTTTTATGCCTTTAGGATAAATTCCAAGAAGTAGAATCTCTGAGTCTAAGGCTGTGTTATTTTTTAACTTGACAGACATTGCCAAATTGCTCTTCAGAAATAATTTAAACTATTGGCATAGTGCCTAAGGCATTTGTCTGCTAACCAGAAGGCTGGCGGTTCAAAGCCACCAGCCACTCCTTGGGAGGAAGACTAGGCAGTGTACTTCCATAGAGATACCGCCTCGGAAACCCAGGGAGGGATTGCTATGAGTTGGAATCATCTTGATAGCAGTGAGTTTATTATTTTTTGTTGTTGTTATTTGTTTTTAATTGTATACCATCAGCCAGTGGTATCACTAGGGTTGGTGTCACACAGTGCAGTAACTCATGGTGTCAACCCCTTCATGGGCCTCCTCCTGTACCAGACCTACAGAATCCTTAGTAATGTTTATAATCAGTAATAAAAATATAATTTCAAATTGCTGAAATGAATATTTTTTACATTATTTGAATAATAATAATAAAACTCACTGCTGTTGAGTCAGTTCCAATTCATAGGGACCCCCATTGGGTTTCTGAGATTGCAAATCTTTACGGAAGTAGATTGCCCCATCTTCCTTCCATGGAGTGACTGGTAGGTTTGAACTACTAACCTTCTGGTTAGCAGCCAAATGTTTTATGCACTGTGCCACCAGAACTCCTTAATGATAATGTTGTATGAATACTAACAACAAAATTCTTTTGTAAAATCTTTCTCTATAGAATTATAATACATTAGTTACAGTATTATTAGTAACTGAGTGGAACGCTTTTATTTTTTCCTTTAATTACTACTTCATTCTCAAAAAGTTATTAATATAGGTTCACAAATGCAAATTACCACAATATTTAGTGAAAACACTAGAAAATTTGACAAAATCAGAAACTATATAATGTCAGCAGTAGCAAAATCAATATAACCTTGTGATTTGAAGCAGGATTGTTATTGGGTAATAATGACAGCTCTGACTGGAGTGCATTAGAAAGTTCGTAAAAGTAAATTAGCAGAAAGTTTTAGTCTTGTAGATAGAGTAGTACATGTAAGCTGAGCTTTTGAAAAATGTTTTTGTTGTTATAACTAACTACAGGGATATTTTTATTTTAAAAAAATAAATTTCTGCTGAAGCTCTGCACAAAAATTTTATAGAGAGTCATTTTGGTGTCACCCCTAACAGTGTCACTCATTGTAGTCCACACCCCCTTAGTTACACCACTGCCATTCGCAGTATACGAAAGTAACTATTTTTCCACACTCTTAGGAACACCACCATGTATCCTCCAATATTTTGATCTTTGCCAATCTGATAGGCATAAAGTATTATCTCATTATAGTTTGTACTTATTTTGAGTGAGGTTGAGTTATCTTTTTATTATATGTTCAAGAGTCATCTCTCTTTTTAAACTGTCTTTCCATATCCTTTGTCCATTTTTCTGTTGGATAATTGGTTGTTTTCTTGTCCATTTTCAGTAGCTTCTACGTATTAGGTAAGTTAGCCCTTTGCTACGAAATTTGTTGTAAATGTTCACCCCAGTTTGTCATATGTCTTTGCTCATAGTTTTCTTAGATTAGTTCTCTAGAAGCAAAGCCTGAAAATGGAAATCTTGTTGATTTGAGGGCTTGCTTACAGAAGGAGAGTGAAAAAAGCAAGATACAGCAGAGCAAAATGATAAGCAAAACACATTGACTCAGAGATGAGTTTTAACATGATCCCATGTTCTAAAGGGATTTGTTCTGCTTGAAGCAAGGGATCTGATATTTTAATCATTGTTTGAGGAGGATGTGTGAGGACAAGGGATTGGTGCACAGAGAGTCCCCAGGTTAGAGCCCTCCCATTTAGCCCAGGGCAATTCTTTGGAGAAGGAAGCATCTGTGAGCTATCATCAGTCAATACCCCAGAACAGCTGAAAAGAGTTTGAATGGGAAAGGGGATCTGAGTGTGGCAACAATAGCATGTACCACAATCTGCTCCTTGCAGTTTTCAGATCCTCTTGTTTCTCACATGAAGTCCACTCCATCCAAACACAACTTCTGCAGGACTTTTTAATCCTAGTTTCCGTACAACTTCCCAGACAAACTACAGCCTCCACTATTCCAATGGGTCCCAAGGCTTCAACTGTTGCTCTTTGTGTCCCTCCTCCCTTCTAGGTTGTCTTTTCCTGGCTCGCAGTTCAGGTGCTCCAGATGGTTTTGCTTGAGTTCTGAGCCCTTAGTCACCTTGCCTTTACT